AAATTGTATTTTTTCAGTACACCTGTGGTAGAGGCAAGGACAATGATATTCTTTGTCTTAGTTTACTTGTATCTCGTAGACATTGCATTTTTTTTCGAGACACTGAAAGTTTATATGTCACAGACTTACGAGTATGTATGAGAAATAATCATATCAATACTGATGTATTTATAAATTGAATAATATTAATTCTTGACTTTTTCAGAGTTCAAATGGCATTTTTATTAATGGCGATGAAAAAAGGTGTCAGCATACGGTTAAACTATATGAGAATGATATCATTGGAATTGGTTGCCCTGAAATTGATTCAAGTAAAGAGACATTATATGTTTATAAAGTTTGCATCATTAAGGTAGGATGTTCTCAGAACAGTATATAATATTTTTGGTAGGAATTTAATATTTATTATTAAATCTATATCATCTTTTTAGTCACCTGAACTTGATGAAGAAGAAGAAGAAGAAGAAGAAGAAGAAACTGCTGCTTTATCAAGGACGATTTTAAATAACGATACGTCACTAGAAATCATATCTCACGTAAATCGTGATTTTAGAAAAAGACACGGATCTAATTTAAATTGCGATATGACAGTACCTAATAAAAAACCAAGTGTTACGTATAATACTAATAAACATGATTCTAGTTCTTCAAAAGGTAAGTCCTTATTTTTTAAACAGGCGAAATAGGAATAAATTTGCAATATACTGTAATAAATTTTTTAATTTAAATTTTTTTTGTAGGAATTGATACTAATTTATCTCACGATGATCAGACTCTTAACAGCAATACTACTAATAATTTAAAAATCAGACATGATACTATTGATATAAATGCAGAAGATGATATTGAAATAATTCATGCATCATTAGCAGAAGATGTAAGGAAAAAGAACTCTACGACACATAATCTGACATCTGCAAAATGTTTAAACGGCAATAAATCGAATTTTGATGACAAAATAGATGTTTCTAGTGTTGAGAATAACAATGAAGGCGATGTTAATGATAGAGGTATAAGTAAAACTTATATTAAAAAATATATAAGAATAACATTAATAAAACAAATGCATTATATTTCACAGATAATTCAAATTTTGTACATAAAGCTGAAATTATTAAATATGAAAGTGAGCTACAATTAACAGACGATGAAGGCGCAAACACAGCTAAACACGATACAACTTGCAAATCACCGATTAAATTGAAAAAAACAAAACATGAACCGAAAACGCGATTTTCTGAGATCGATGTTGTCAATTTAAGTGACGATGAGGAGGGAGTATTTCCATATTCCCAGTTATTTGATATCAAATATGACGATAGTACAGAGAATAAGAAAGAGATAAAACAGGAATGTACCAACGATAATGAACCAAACACCGAGAAAATTGGTCTGCTAAATATCGACGACGAGGTCATTATTTTAACAGACAGCGAAGATGAAGATAATCCATGGTTAGAACGATTATCCAGAAGTCAATTACTCAACGAAGACGTAAAACCTGTTTTGTGTGATTCGATCGTAAAAGATGAAATCGATTTGGGTATTTGGGATGATGAAATTTTGAATATCGAATCGTCTGAGATAATCAAACAGTCCGAGATACCATGTACTTCCCAGGTTCCTCATAGTAAAGAAATGTCTTGTGAACCACGTACAAGCGTTGATGTTGGAATTAAAAACAAAGAAGATGATTATAGTACTAATTTATCGACCCCAAGAGTGGATTCGATGGATATAGAAGCAGGCGTTTCTAGTACGAGAGATATTAATAAAAATAAACAAATTAATGATATCAATATTAATGTCAAAAAGAAACAGAAAACGCATGCAAAACAAAATCTAGAATTAGATAAACATACAATAGAAAGTGTAAAACCAAAATTAATTGCACCGACAACAGAAGGAGGTACGATGGATGTAGACGAGACAAGCGCTTCTAACGATCAAAACAATAGAAAGTGTAAAACTAATTGCACCGACAACAGAAGGAGGTACGATGGATGTAGACGAGACAAGCGCTTCTAACGATCACGGTACGAAAGATATTGATGCAAACAAACGGATTATTGATGCAAATATTAATGTTAAAAAGAAACAGAAAACTCATGCAAAACAAGATGTAGAATTAAGTAAACAAACAATAGAAGGTGTAAAACAAAAATTAATTGCACCGACAACAAAAGTACGTATGATGGATGTAGACGAGACAGGCGCTTCTAACGATCACGGTACGAGAGATGCAAATATCAATGTTAAAAAGAAACAGAAAACTCATGCAAAACAAGATGTAGAATTAAGTAAACAAACAATAGAAGGTGTAAAACAAAGATTAATTGCACCGACAACAAAAGTACGTATGATGGATGTAGACGAGACAGGCGCTTCTAACGATCACGGTACGAGAGATGCAAATATCAATGTTAAAAAGAAACAGAAAACTCATGCAAAACAAGATGTAGAATCAAGTAAACAAACAATAGAAGGTGTGAAACAAAAATTAATTGCACCAACAACAGAAGTACATACAATGGACGTAGACGAGACGGGCGCTTCTAACGATCGTAGTACGGGAGATATTGATGCAAATATTAAAGTCAAAAAGAAACAGAAAACTCATGCAAAACAAAATGTAGAACTAAATAAACAAACGATAAAAGGTGCAAAACAAAAATTAATTGCACCAACAGAAGTACGTACAGTGGATGTAGACAAGGCAGGTGCTTCTAATGATCATAGTACGAGAGATATTGATGCAAATATTAATGTCAAAAAAAAACAGAAAACTCATGCAAAACAAGATGTAGAACTAAATAAACAAACAATAGAAGGTGTAAAACAAAAATTAATTGCACCGACAACAGAAGTAGGTACGATGGATGTAGACGAGACAGGCGCTTCTAATGATCATAGTACGAGAGATATTGATGCAGAGAAATGGATTATTAATGTCAATATTAATGTCAAGAAGAAACAGGAAACGGATCTAGAACTAAATGAACAAACAATAGAAGATGTAAAACAAAAATTAATTGCATCGCTCACAGAAATAGATATGATGGATGTAGACGAGATAGGCACTTCTAACGATTCTAATATGAGATGTATTGATGTAAATAAACAGATTAATTTAAAAAAGAAAACAGATGCGAAACGAAGTATAGAGTTAATACAACAAACAATAGAGAGTGTAAAACAAAAATTAATTGCACCAACCATAAAAGTAGATGCGATGAATACAGATAAGACAAGTTCTTCTAACGATCGTAATACTAGAGATGTTAATAGAAGCAAACATATTACTGATGATAAAAAGAAAACAGATGCGAAACAAAGTATAGAATTAGTTAAACAAACAATAGAAAGTGTAAAACAAAAATTAATTGCACCGACCACAGAAGTAAATGCGATGGACGTAGATGAGCCAAGCTCTTCTGACGATTTCGACATCAGTAGTATTGATAGAAGCAAACAGATTACTGATATCAATATTGACAAAAACAAACAGAAAACAAATGTGAAACAAGATACACAGTTAAATAAGCATACGTTAGAAAGTATAAAACAAAAATTAATTGCAAAGTCCCCAAAAAGACTGATTTCAATAGAACCATTAAATTTACCTACAAGAAGAAGACGATCTGATCATAGTAAAGACAAAGCAACAAAAGTACATGAAACTTCACAATCAAGGGTAACAATAAAAGAAAAGAGCGTATCGAAATTAAAAGAAAAACTTAAATATAATTTTCATAGTAAAGAACGAAAAGAGAATACGGACCGCAAAGATAAATCTAAATCGGTAACTGATAATTCCCCGTCAAGTGAGGCAAAATTAATTTCTAAGGACGAAAAAAAGAAAATAATCGAACAGAGAAAGATGAAATTGAAGGAGATTGCTGCAGAAGAGAAGAAACTGACGACCGAAAGCGATCAAAGTACTAAACGTAGGAATAAACCAAGAGCTAAAGTATCCTTTAAAACTCGTGGCGATTTTCTCATTACTGAACAAGAACCACGAGTATCTAAATCGCTTCCAGATAAACCCGCAGAATTATCAAAATTAAGTGATCAATCTAAGAAGCAATCAAGAGATACAACTAATGTATTAAAAGAATCCACAATTTCCGACAAGAAGGCACAGAATTGTCAAAAAACGGACGTTTCTAAGGATACAGTAAATAACATTGCCGCATCATTGCAACATTCCTTATGTTTAAACAATATAAACACTGAGAAAAGTACACTAGATTTCAAAGCGACCGATGATAATAAAAAGAAACGTAGCAGTAGCAAGGATATTACAAAAAGGAGCAATATTAATACTGATCCTACTTTTCAAGTGTCAGAATTGCGAGATAGATCGACCGAACGTAGTTCTGTAATACAAAAAGAAAATTTTTCACCAAACGGTTTGAAATCGAAGCTTTTAAAGTCGAGCATAAAACTGAAGAAAATGAAAAAAGTGACTTTTTCTGACAGACCCGAAATACGGGAATACAACATCGACCAAGACAATTCTTTAAGGAGATTGGTAGGGAAAGATGCACCTATACCTACGAATAAATTAAAAAAATCTGTAATCTGTGCAGATTGGCGCCCGAAACTGGAAGAGTTCCTACTTCGCATTTTTACGTGGAATCCTGTGTGGCTCGAAGAACAGCGCTATCTAAAGTGCGATCCGCCAATAATATTGGAGAACGAACTTCGGGCTATGAAACTATCTTACGATTCTTATGAACAGTATTATGAAGTCGCGATGCCTCTTCTATTACTCGAAATGTGGTACATCATGACTAAAGATTTCGAATTGAATCAGAGGAATATGCAACGTACTACCGTAATGTGTTCTATAGTTGAGAATTCTATTACGCGCACCCCTATACCGTCGACTAATTTATTCTTGACGAAATTAACTCTTGAAGTGCTAGTCAATAGAGAAGATTTTAATAAACGAAATCATCCTATTTACGGAGATCTGGTATATTTTGAGTATGTCAAGAATGAACATGGTAAACAAATCTTTCACAAGATATTCGCGTATGTCATCAACATGCAGCAACACATGGTTATCCCAGGCTCCACATATTATAATAGCGATTTAAAGAATTATGTAAAAGATCCATATACAATTATAAAATACAGCGTGTGGACACGACCTCTTGAACACATCATCGTAAATAGAGTGCAAAGGCTACGAACGGTCACGTATTTGCGATCGAATATCAGAATGGTGCAGGCATTACAATATCTCCCTCATTCACCCTTGTCAAAATTGATTGTGAATCCGAAAATTGAAGACTATCAATTACCACCACTAAATGAAGAATTTACATCTTCTTCACTAGTAACAAAAGATGATTTAAATTCGAAGCAATTAGAGGCTGTATTTCGAGTGACGAATGCTGTAATAAAGAAAGAGGCTAAATTATGCTTTATTCAGGGCCCACCGGGGACGGGTAAGTCTAAAGTTATTGTAAATCTGGTTACTCAAATATTATATGGTGAATGTCAAGACAAGAAATCTTTGAGAATCCTGATTTGCGCACCATCTAACGCTGCTATTGATGAAATCGTGATAAGACTTCTACATATCAGATCTACCCTAAAACAGAAACGTTTTAATATGGTACGCATTGGTCAATCAGAGTCTATGCATCCAAAGAGTAAAGACATTTCTGTACCACAAATAGCGAAACGCCACCTAATAAACATAAGTAAAGGTATAAAAACAACGAATAACAACATTGAAGATTTATCAATTTTACAAGCGCATATTAATTCGTTTAACGCCGAACTTGGAAGTATCCAAAGCGTACAAGAAGGAAAGAGGTATTCACTCAAAAACAAATTATTTGAAACAACGATGAAATACGAACTTATGAAATCTAATAAATCAATAGACGAGCTCAATTCAAAGGAGCGCGCCAGGTACCAGCGTATGTCAGAAGACATAGTTCTTCAGGGTGCCAATATAATTGCCTGTACACTTTCATCTTGTTACACTAATCAGATGGAATCGCTTTTTGGCGGTCACAAGGAAAGGATATCTGTATGCATCGTTGATGAAGCGACGCAGAGTTGCGAAGCAGAGACTTTGATACCATTAATGTTAGGGGTGACTACATTGGTTCTAGTAGGCGATCCAAATCAACTACCAGCAACCATTCTAAGCCAACGAGCGAAGAAATTAGGATTAGATCAATCGGTATTTTCTAGGATGCAAAACATTTTCACGTCTCAGTTGAATAATCCAATTATAATGTTGGACATGCAGTATCGTATGGAGTACGCGATCTCGTATTGGCCTAATAGATACTTCTATGATGGTAAATTGAAAAACGCTACCGATTATAGATTGCAATTTCCATTTCATGCATACAGAGTTTTGGATCATAACTTCACTCAGAACCGTGATAAATTTTCCAACACCACTGAAGCGGAATTTGTGGCCAATATAATTTATACAATGTTGAAGTGCGCCAAATGGGAATCAACAAATGCTATTATTACTCTCGGAATTCTCACACCGTATAATAATCAAAGAACTCTTGTACTAAATAAAATAAACGAAAAGTACGTGTGTGTATAAAAGCAATAGTTTCCGTAAGTTATGAAGATATCGTAAATTTACAATTCATATGTTTTTTATAGGATATCGTCTGTACCGGATGACGTAAAAAAGAAAATTACCTTTGAAGTTAATACGGTCGACAGTTTTCAAGGTCAAGAGCGAGATGTTATAATAATGTCCTGTGTGAGAAGCAGCGGTATTGGATTTTTATCAGACAAACAAAGACTTTGTGTAGCACTTACAAGAGCTAAACATAGTTTAATATTATGTGGAAATTTTCGTACTTTCATGGTAAGCGAAGAATAATCCTGAAATTTTTAATTCTGGAAGTAGTGAGTGGTTGCGCTACTGGATGTATCCACTAGTTGCATTCAACAGAATGGTCATTTGTACAACTGTTGAAAGTTCTTTGCTGAGATAGGGCTATTCCTCTAGATTTGAAAGTATAATCCGATTAGAGAATATGAAGAAAATTATTGTGGAAATTTGTGCTACTCATTATATTTTAATTAATCAGCAAATTTTTGCTTTGCAGAAAGATAAAATGTGGAATGCATTGTTAACTGATGCACGAAATCGTGGAATTCTATGTCGTATGGATACTAATGCAACAACTAGTATGATTGAAAAATGTATCATTAAGTAAAGTACTCATTTGTAAAGTTTTACTGAATATTGTAATTACTTCTTTATATGGTTTGTATATTTTGTAAATATTTAGGCTAAGTTTAAATATTTAAAGCGTTTATAATGAAAAATGTATCAACTGAATCTTAAAGAATGTTTATTTAAAGTAATGTTTCAGAATCATAGTTCTAAATAATGAGACATGAATGCCAATTCTATCACCAAAGTGTTGATTGCTTGCATCAGACACATCTCACTTACTGAAATATAATACTACTGTATGTAGAACGAGCGTGGCCCTATGTTGTCTTTGTTAAGAATAATCCGAGAGAGAGCTTTCCAGTTAGTATCTTTATTCTTTTCTAACCTGTACTCATGTATAATTGCGCATGTGCAGACTGTATTGCACATGCGCAATCATAACGAAGTATAGATTAGAAAAGAATAAAGATACCACTTGAAACGCTCTTGAGCATTTCGTTTTGTCTCTCGGGAGCTGCTCAGAGTTCAGAGCTGCTCGAGGTCGCTCCGAATGAACCTAGCGTACTTGAAATGTAGGATTCACACTATAGCTGTGTTCCAAAATTCACTGTCAGCGCTGAAAATCTACAGTTTACGTTACGTATACTATACATTTTCAGTACTGGCAATGATTTTGGAACACAGCTTATGTACGACATCCGTCATACGACATTCATTGTAATAATTTTTTCGGATCGCGAAACTAATACTGGATTCACACTGCATCCGATTTGCG